TGTTTCTTCAGGGTGACAGGCTGCTCAGTTTTGGAGGGGAACTGATGTTGCTCATGCATGGGACATTTCCTGTCTTTGGTAGGTTTTGCAAGGAATCTCTCTCTCTTTCTCTCTCTCTCTCTCTCTCTCTCTCTCTCTCTCTCTCTCGGTTGGACTGGGCTCATGTATCTGCACCCTGGCAGCCTGTTCACCTTAGCTTGTAGAATGACTTTCCACCCTCAGGATTCCAGAACGAAACTGACGACCCCGCTGGGGTATCACCCTGAGATGGAAATGAGGACATCATTCAGGCAGGGAACAGAGCAGACCCACTCTAGCTTCTGAGGCTCTGATGGTTAAGATACCTCAGAAGGTGAACTGGAGGCTCTGGCATCAGGTTTGTTGACCCTCCTTCATCCATCCTTCCCTGTACTGAAATTTGTAAAAGCAGCTACATATGAAGTTACTGAACTGGTTTAAAGTGACAAGTGATTTGTTATGTTCTTTTGTCCTCTATAAGTCTGCACCTTATTTCTTGAGATAAGGGTCTCTAATAGAACCTGGAGTTTTCTGTGTAGGCTAAACTGGCTGGCTTCATCCACCTGTTCTCTGCTTCCTGACATACACCAATTCAACTTGTCTCTGTCCCCCTTTCCAGGGCTGGGGTTACAGTCCCCATTCCTGGCTTTTACATGGGTGCTGGGGATCCAAACTCCGGCTTCATGCTTATATAGCATGTACTTTACCCACTGAGCCATGTCCCCAGTCCCAGGCTTCCTTTAACAATGACTGTTTCACAACTGAAAAGAAAGCATCCACCTTCCATGGGCTACCAAACCACAGCCACATGACTGGAGTCCTCCAGTCTCCTAACTGGACCCTCTTTGGCCAGCTGTCAAAGTCTAGGTCCTAATTGAAAGGTGCCACACTGGCTGATGGGCCTCTGGCAACAGATGAGACAGTGAGCTGCAGCTTTCCCTGGTCCTAAGCTGTAGCAAGTCAACCCAGGAAAGGGCATGGACATCAGCAGAGAAGGGGGCCTTCAAGCCTCACAGTGAGAGTGGGTTTGGGGTGCTCTGAGGGTTTGAGTGGCTGGCTGTGTGGGGCCTACCTGTGGCTCCAAACATTGAGGTGCTCTGGCTGGAACCCTTGACCTGGGCTGGGAAGATTCCTAGGCATATGAAAGTTCCAATACTTCTCCAGGTTGAAGATGGTGCCCCTGGGTCAATTCTTGACTGCGGTTCCTGGACAGGAAATTCTCCTGATCCTTGGCCCGTCTTTCCATCCTGCCCTGGAGTAATCTGAGCCTTAGGGTTTAGTTGTGAGGGCTGCAGCTTTAAGGAAAACACAGCCCAATATTACCTGAGGAGTCCCTTTCCCCCTTAGGGACTTCATTCTGTAAAGCCTTGACTACCAAGAAAAAAAAAAAATCAGGACAAGACAGAACAAAGCAATCAGTAGGTTTGTTAAGTATTTAGAGAGTCATAGGAAAAGGGCAAGCAATACACAATCCCAAGACATGGGGGCAGACTTCTTGAGAGAGTACATACAGGTGTGTTTACAATGGTTAGCTATATGATCCTGTGGCTTTCTGAGTTACATTCCTCAAAGGATTAAACAAGGTTTAAAGTTTAAATGGTTTTAGGATTAAGTAAAAATATATGAACTGGCTTACCTATTTTTTAAAAAAAATAATTTTGTGGGGCTGGAGAGATGGCTCAGCAGTTAAGAGCACTGGCTGCTCTTGCAGAAGACCTGAGTTTGATTCCCAGCACCCACATGGTGGCTAACAAGCATCCGTAACTCCAGTTCCAGGCGATCTGATGCCCTCTTCTGTCTTCCTCGGGCATTGTACAACAGGGGTGCACCCATCTACATGCAGGCAATACACTCAAATACAAAAAAAAAATAATAAACAAAAAACATTTTAAAAAGTAATTTCATTTGGCAAATAAAATTTTGTAAGGTTTGATGAGATGCATTTTTAGTTTTAGCGACAAAAGAGGCATGCTAACATGGTAAAACTGAAGTCTCAAACATTCTGGTCCAAAATAAACACATCATTTGTATTTTGCTTTATTTTTGTTTGTTTTGTTTATTTCTTTTGAGACAGGATATTACTCTGTATCCCCGGCAGGCCTGGGACTTGCTATATAGACAAGGCTGGTCTCAAACTCACAGTGATCTTCCTCACTGTCTTCCTAATACTGGAACTACATACAGTGTGGCAGCATCTGGTCACTGACCTCTGTTGAGCATTTTTGTCTGTATTGCTAACACCCCCTCCTCCCGAGGTCCCAACAACAAACCCAGGTACCATTCCACCAAAGTGCACTCTGGGAAACCAATGAATTTACTGGGCTTCCTTACAGGGCACTGGGTAAGGGGTTACTTACAGAGCTCAGGTGGTCCCCTGTAAGGCCCCACTGGAAAGTCTTCACTCAGCATAAATGAGATGGCTTTCCCATAGCCACATAAATGGAGCCTCCCTCCCATTGTCTTCCCCAGCCCACATGTAATGAGGGCCAAATTGCCCACCTGGACCAGTTGGGAGGTGTAACTGGATACTCTGATGACTCTCCCTGACCCTCCTTCTGTGCTGGGGCATGAAAAGTCAATAATCGGGGCTGGAGAAATGGCTCAGCGGTTGGGAACTCTAACTGCTCTTGCAGAGGACCTGGGTTGGATTCCCAGCACCCACATGGTGCCTGTGAACCATCCTTAACTCCAGTTCCAGGAAAATCCGAAGCCCTCTTCTGACCTCCATGGCATTGCATGACACGGGTGCACTCATTTACATGCAGGCAATACACTCATACACATAAAAATAAATAAAATATTTTTGAAAAAAGAAAAGTCAGTAACCCCAGTGGGGATGTCTTTGGCAAGTGGATACAACCTTAGCTCAGGAAGATGGTGTCTGTCTGATTGAGAGGACAGTCCTGTATAACAGTCTGAGATGTCTTTGGGAAAATACATTGTCTCTGCAGGAAATTTTGGCAACTTTATCAGCTGTGTTGAAGTTTCTTGACTCTCAGCAGGAAAGACAAACTAGATACCAAGATAAGGACTTCTTTCTCTTCCCATGTCCTCCCAGTGTTCCATTTCTATAAGGCCTCATTTGTACCCTCTTTTTTGCCCAGTCCATTCCCAATAAGTCAAGATTCCTTTATCTTTCATAAAGTCCTGAGAAATCAAAATTGCTGGGGGGCGGGGGTGTTGGAGGAGAAGCATACCACCACCTGAGGACTATTGTTCACCCTCTACACCTTAGCACTGGTCAACGAACCACATTGTCCAAATCCTCTTTCTACCAATAAGCCGTACATCCCGTAAAGTCAGAGGGAGGTTGGGGGTAAACAGAAGGAAGCCTGTGCTCTCTGTGCAGCTGCGTTTGGGGCAGGGCACGCTCTACCCTCTCTGGCGGTTGAATTCCCCACTGGGCAGGTCTGCTCCGTCGGTCTGGGCTGGAGGAAGTTGGAGTTTTGGGTCTCTGCCATCCTGAATGAGGTGCCCAAACCCTTGAACCTGCCGAAGTGTCCCCACCCCTTCCTATGAAGCGCTAGCTCTCCTCCAGCTTGAAGCCTCTACAGCACCTGGCCCACAGACACCCTAGGGGAGCCCGGACCCACCGCGCTGCCCTATGAATTTTGAGTACACTGAAACTCACCGCAGTGGTTGTGGAGGCGAGGAGCTGCCGGACGAGGTCGAGTCCCATAGTCAGAGCAGGAGACCAGGCCCACTCGAGGGACTTGCGGGACCCCTGAAACCCACGATTGAACCCCAGCACCAACAGAGCGCCCCGCCCCCAGACACCAGGAGACTTGTAAGCTCGGTGAGCCTAAGTGAAGTGGAAACGTGCATGACCGTTCACTGCGTCCGAGGAGTGGCCAGTCCTCCAGATACAGGAGAGCGCGATCAGAGCCCACCCTCACCAGCATCGGATCCGCTGGGAGCCTGTCTCCTGGCAGCCATCGCTGCAGAGTGCTACTGGGCCACGGCCAGCAGGGAGCGCCCGGGCGAAGGGCTTGGCGGAGGACCCGCCCATGGCTCGCGCATCCTAGGCTCCTCGCCTGTAAGGACACCCTAGTCCTCTTGCAGCACCCAGCGAATCGTGGTCAGCCCAGGGGCCCACAGATTACACCCGGTCAGCACCACCTTAACCGGTGATGCATCTTCCCTGGGTCAGAGGTTTCTTCTCTCTAGAGGTCAGAAGCCTGGCCTGGTCCTCCACCTCTGGACTGGGCTGGGTGCCTTGAGAACATAGGGCCAGAACTGAGCGAAGCTCAGATTCTCCCTGCCTGGAGCAAGCAAATAGCACTTATGTTTCTGGTCCGAAAAATGCCCACAGCAGGAGGCCAGAAACCTGCCAAACTATGGACAACCTACCAGCTTAGGGAAGTTGTGGGGTGGGCTGAACAGGTTCAGTCAGGGGACAGATACACAGGACAGTGGTTACCATGTGCAGTTTATTGAATCTACCATAAAGAAATGTGTGAGTTGTGAGTGTAACAACTGTATAACCATGAAGAGTGAAGGGGCAAGGTGAGTGGCAACTGTGGATTGAAGAGTACATGCCAGAACCAGAAGCCAGAATCCCCTATCATGTGTCCAGATGACCGGTGCTTTAAACAATGCACACAACAGCAATGATGGTGATAACGACCATAAGGATGCTGAAGACGAGGGCGCTGATGTTCAGGCACTTGGCAGTGGAGGCGTAGGCCTGGGCCCCAGTCACATCGCCCACCATTTTCCGGTCCCTAGACTGGAGGAGACCAGATGGTCAGTGGCCCTGGAGCCAGTCAGCAGACAGGTAAGTGCTCTGATCCAATTCCCCCATTGTCCTCCCTGCCCACTGCAGCGTCCCCCACCTTGGGCCAGGGACCTGTTTCCCTTTTCACATACTCAGACTATCCAGGAGTCCCTAGAGCTGCATACTCACACCACGGCGTATTATTCTCCCTGAGTCCCCTGGGCCCTTTCCATGCAGCCTGGAGCCCCAGTCTGCAGGGTGAAGGGGACTTCCAAAAACTGAGGGATAGAGAGAATTCCTCTCTTCAGGGGTGGGGATGATCTAAGCCCAGGATTCCCAGGCAGCCTCACTCTGTCTGCCCAGGAGAGTCTTCAAGCCATACACATACACACACACACACACACACACACACACACACAGACACACACACACACACACAGACACACACACACACACACAGACACACACACACACACACAGACACACACACACACACACAGACACACACACACACACACAGACACACACACACACACACAAGCACATACACACGCACACACACACACGTATGCACACACACACGCACGTGCACACGCACACAAAAAGATGCATACAAACTTACTCTCCCACACAAAGGGCCACACACACCTAGGGCAGGCAGAGCTTCAGACTCACGCACACCTTCTTGGACCATGACTCCCACACCTCTACCACACTCACCTTCACAGAGTAGGCATAGGCAATGAAACCCAGGCAGCAGAAGTTCATGAAGAGTGCATTGAACAGGGACCAGACCACATGGTCAGGCACAGAGACCTCTCTGGGCATGTTGATCACGGTGGTCCTGACAGAAGCTGAGCCTTGGGGTTCCCCCAGCCCAGATACCTCATATTCGTCTTTGATCCTTTCATAGTTTGGGGGATGTCCAGCATTGGTGGCTGTCAAGAAAGCGTGAGAAGTGTGGTTCATGGTGCAGAGCCAAATCAGCAGTGAAGGGTAGATGAACTGCTCTGTGGGCCGCCCTTTCTCCAGCAGTTTCAGTTTCTCAGAAGTTTCCTTTTCCTGAATTTTGGCTTAATGAGAATTGGCTGGGTCCTGAGGGGCGGGGATCTAAACACCGAAGATCAAATTACTTCAGGGCAGGATGTCAGGAATGGCTGAGGATCAGGGGAACTTCCTGCCCAGGAACCCAAGTCAGGACTTGTCACAGGGCCCAAACCTCACTGTATGAATGAGGGGTCCTGGAGCTTTCTCCAGTCCTGGGGATCTCCCCAGCCTGGGCCTGCAGAACCTCACTGCCCTTGAAGAGAGTCCCAACCAGGCCCCACACAGCCTTCTATTCTCCTAGCACTAAAGGCCCACAAAGCCCACTACACTCACTATGGAGACCAAGTCTGCTGGCCTTGGTGCAGGTAGGGGTTGGGAGAGCTGCATGTTGCTGTGTCTACACAGCAGATCAAAGACCCAGCAGCTAGTGTGGCCAGTCACTGGACTTTGGTGCTCACTGGTGTTAGGACTGGATGATTCCAGGTCACGTAGCCACAGCCTCATAGTCCAGGGCTGGCATATTTGTGCTACCCCAACTCCCTTTCCCTTGCCCTGTCACATCTCATCAGTGTTGGTGGGATGGTCACTGGTGACTTTTGTCATGCCAGAGGAACCCTTTCAAGGACATGTGGTAGCTGAGGGCTATGACCAGGAAGGTCACTTCTAGTCAGGCTGAAGGATACCATTTTCCTGCTGCCTGCTGTCCTTCCTGATGACAGGGGGCCTGGCCCAGACTCCCCAGTTAGGAGCTATGTCCTCTCTCCATCTTGGTGGCACCAGAGGGACCAGCTACTAGATCCGCCTCAAGGTGCCTCGCAGCACCCACCCTTCCTAGGGCTCTGGGTCTTGGGATCTAGGACTCCCCAGTTTCTAGTTCCAGTCATTTTACTGTCTTCCTTGAGTTCCTCACAGGGGTGCCAGCACCTCTTGAAGTCACCCCTTTTTGCAAATCTGTCAGCAGATGTCACCTTAATCAACCTCTCTGATGAAATCCTGCCTTTGGAATACCTAGTGTGACTTCCATGAAGTTACCTGGTCCCACACTGAGTGCTCCTGGCAAGCCTTGGGCTCAGAGGTGCTGTGTAGCAGAGCAGGACAGGACTTTAGTCTAGGGGCAGGGAGTCTCACTGGAGCCTATGTGTGCTGGCTTCTGTTGGATCCTGATATGCTGTTTCTGTGTGTTTTGTGGAATAACCCTCCCATTGGTACCATTTCACACTGATCCTTCCACATCCCTGAGGGTCAGGTTTGAATTGATGACTAGCAGCTCAGCCTTCTGTTGCCTTTTAATCATGTGAGAGATAAAGTAATGGGAGCTTGTAAATGACAGTAAGTGTTGTAATGTGATTGCAACACGATTTGGTTTCTAGAAAGTTGGGTTTTTGTTTGATGTAACTTTTTTTATAGTTACAAATATTTCATTTTAACCATAGCTATCTTCACTGTGGACTCACAATATTCCTGAAGTCAAACGCTTTGCTCCAGGACCTTTACCCAGCCACAGTAGAAACTGTCTTGAAAGTTATTGGTCATCTCAAACTGTGTGGCCACTTCTGCTCCCCCATCTGCAGTCACTGGAACCATAATTCCCTTCTCCTCATGGCCTTGGTGAGCTGTGAGGACTTTGCCACACCCAGGACACCACATGTGTTCACTCCTCAGCCTCATCTCCCCACACAGAGGCTCCTGAGCTGTATGTCCAGCCCTATGCATGTGTTCCTCGTCAGGGTCTTCATTCTGCCTCAGAGTGGGCTGGAAAAAGACTCCTTCCTGTTTAACTTGTTCCCTCACATGTGGCACACCCTAGAGAAGCACCCTTTTGAATTTCCATCTTCCTCATCTGATCCCAAGGGCAACCTCTGCTGCCCCTGGGGTCATCAGAAAGACAGTGATTGACAAGCACTTCTGGAAGACCAAGGGTCAGGGCCAGCCTTGTGCTCCATCCAGGATGGTTCACTTCTGTTCCTCGACACACAGTTGCTAGACACTCTGATCTGCCAGGTAGCCTGCCTCTGCTCATAGTGAGCAGTTTTGGCCCACTGTCCATCAGTAGAGATGGAATCAAAAGGCCGTATCCTCTGGTTTAGTGTCCACGCTTCTCAGACCCACAGCACCCTCTATTGGCACTGATCTCCTACCTGACTTACAATGGTGGGTCTCAACAAGGAGCCAGAGCCCATCAGTCCTGTGGTACCACACAGGTGAAGGAAATGGGTGGGGCCAGTGCATGGCACCCAGCAGACTCGGGGGGGGGGGGCGGGGGTTGGCTGCTCTGCTCTCTTCTCAGGAGAGAGACACTGCTTTGTTTACTCTCTGACTTTGGGTAGAGAGTGGGGAGCACCTCAAAGAGTTCCCATCCAGCCCTGGACTCTACTGATGGCCCTGCCCTACAGGCCACCAACACAATGGGGAGTTATACCAGCTTCCATTGTTTCAAGCCCAGTTACACATTTAGGGAGTAGAAAGTGAACACTGGGAGTCTCCATGGCTGAGCAGCCCCACTGTGGGTTCACTCATGGGCTGTGGTAAACCCTACTGATGATACCTGATTTCATATGTTCCCCTGCGGACAAGAAGTCAGGATGGTGTGTCTGGAGATCATGGCCTGGTTCCTGTGCCCAGCAGTACCTGACATTTTTGAAGTTTCTGTGCCCAGCAGTGCCGACATGGGAGGTTCCTGTGTTCCCAGAAGAATTTACCAAGCAATGTTCACATGCACCATTGGGAAGGACTGGAGTGAGGCACATCCCTGGCCATAGGGCAACTCTGTCCCTTGTCCTGAAGCCTCTACCTTCATTAGGTCATGGACCTGGGTCTGAGGCTGAGCACTCTGAAGACCATGAATTCTAGACTGCCTCACTGGATCCTGCTCCAAAACCCTTGCTCCTGGTCTGGTCCTCCATTTCTCCCTGAGACTCAGTCTGGCTGGGCCAGTGTTCTTCAGTATGGTAACAGCTCTCCCACTGGGATCCTCTGTCTTCACTGCCTTTAGAGGCCCCTGTCTAAGACATGCCCGGGTCCCAGGGCAGTGAAGAGAGTGATACTGGACCTGCCTGAAACTTGGCGAAGAGGGCGGTTGGCATGCTGCCTGCTCAAACAAGATGGGATCCTGGACTTCACATACTTCCTCCCAGAAAACAGGACTGGAACCTATGTACTAACACGGGGAGACAGGACCACCCCGGGGATTCCAGAAGACTTGCAAACTTGGGGTGCACCAAGTAAGGTGGAAACGCGGGCATTAAGGCCGTTCTGGAAGAGGAGGCCTGTACGAGTATTCAGTACAGACTGAAGGTGGAGGGCGCCAAGGCCCTTCAAAACCGTGTTTCCTACGTCGGGATCCAAGGACCCGCTCTGGTCACGGGGCCTCCGCCACCAGGAGGTGGCGCCAGGTGGCAAAGACTTCGGTGCTCACCGCCGGCTGCCCAGGCCACAAGGAAAGTGGTGCGGCCCAACCCCAGACCTGAAAAAACTCCTGCGGGAAGCAGGCGGTTGGGGTCGCCCGGCTCTCACCCGCAGCATTCAGAGGCCAAGCCGGAGGCCACCACAGAACCCAGGACGCAGCCTTCTGGGTCTAGGTTTCTTCCCCTGAAAGGCAGGGCCCTTGGTCTGATCCGCTATCCCAGGACTCCCTGGGCCATGGTTCTGAACTCTTCCTGGATGCCCTGGAGACATGGAGCCAAGGGTGGACCATGCTCAGCCACCACCTGCTTGTACCTGCTAAATAAAGAAGAGCCCCGTCCAGGGGGCTAGTCAGTTGCTGTCTGTAGCAAGAGGCCATAAACCTGTCTAGCTGAGGACTCCCTACACCCCATCTCTTAGGAGAATGCCCAGAGGAACTCTGAATGAGCTCAGTACAGGATCAGTCAAGGGGACACAGTCACAGCACAACTGCCACCACACACAATTTATTGAATCCACTGTGAATAGATGTGTGAGGGTAACATTTACATGAGGCATGGGATAATGGGTCAGGCCATCAGCCCAGGATGAGGGGTAGCTGTGAAGGGTGGAACATATGCAGGCTTTCCTCAGAAAACTGTGTGCGCCTTCGCTGAGAATTGACCCCATTGACTGTGCATTCTAAGAACACACATTTCCATGGAGTCCCACCCACAGTGTCTAAATGAGTTCCAAGATCCGTAGAACGATGATTATGATGAAGGCAATCATGGAGAGGATGGTGGCTCCAAGGTTCAGGGTCTTGGAGGTGGAAGCAAATGTCTGGGCTCCCATCACATCGCCCACCATCTTCCTGTCCCTAGACTGGAGGAGACCAGATGGTCAGTGGCCCTGGAACAAGTCAGCTGAGAGCCAGATATCCTGACTCAGTTCCCCCACTGTCCTTCCTGCCCACTGCAGCCTCCTCCCTCAGATCAGCTACCCTCTTTCCCTTTCCATAGTCACACTATCCACAGATCTCAGCACTGGAGGCACACTCAACAGTGGGATGTTGTTCCCCATGAGTCCCCTGGACACTCTCCATGCAGCCTGGCACCCTAGTTTTCAGGGTGAAGGGACATTCATGAGCAAGAAGGAGAATTCCTTTAGGTTGGGGGTAGAGACAGTCTGACCCCAGGATGCCAATGCAGCCTCACCCTATACCTACCAGGAAGAGTCTCTAAGACACACACATATCCCACATATAGTCTACACACACAAATACACAGTGTCACACATGTACAAAGCTGCACATGTCCCCAGTGCCATCTGAGCAAGTGGAGCCTTAGTCTCACACCTTCTTGGACCATGACTCCCACACCTCTACCACACTCACCTTCACAGAGTAGGCATAGGCAATGAAACCCAGGCAGCAGAAGTTCATGAACACTGTGTTAAACGTGGACCAGGTGATATAGTCGGGCAGGACAGCTTCGTTATGGATATGAACCACCGTGGACATCACAGGAGCTGAGCTGGGCTCCTCCTTCACCATGTTTTGTGCTTAGGGGAAGCTCTTGTTTCCAGGAAGGAGGTATGGAGAGGGGTGTTCCGAGTGCTGACTTATAACCACTTGTGAGGTCCGGATGCTGGGGGATGGGCTACCTGGATCTGATGCCCTCTCAGTGGCCTCTTCATAGTTCTTCTTTCTCAAAAATTTCTGCTTCCGATTGTTTGTAAAACACTGAATTATCTGGGCAGTGGGATGTGGAAACAAATTACCAAGTGGTAATTGCACTACAATAGAGTTCCAGACTAGGGAGGATCAGGGAAGCCTCCTGTCCAGGAACCTAAGTCAGGACATGGCCCAGGCCTTCCACCTTCCTGCATAGAAAGGGTAATGGAGCTTTCCCAAGCCTGGGAGTCTGCCCAACACAGGCCATAGCTGCAGATCCTCATTGCCCCAGCCAGGCCCTCCACAGCCCTCCACGATCCCACCCCCAGAGCACCCAAAGCCAATCGTCACTGTGGGAGCCTCCTCTACCAAAATCCATGCCCCTTTCCTGGCTGATCTGCTGCAGGTGGGGGTTGGGGAAAACTGCAGCTGCCATTCCTATAGCCACAGACTCAATGGTCATTATGGGGCCTTCCAGCCCAGGACCTAGACTCTGCTCACTGGCTGAAAAGGGGCCGGGATGGGAGACTGGACTATTCATTCCAGGAATAAAAAAATGGGTCTGGGTCCCAAGAGAATGACCCATACAATCCAAAGTGTTTGGACAAGGCAAAAGTTTTCCTTCTGCAGAAGGCTGTGCAGCCATGCCAAATCAAACAGGCAAGGAGACCCAGCAGGAGTCCCTCTGGGTTTTTATCACTAAAGTAAAAGGATCCTGTGCTTCATTCTGAATGGTCAGAGCTCGGCCTCACATTCTAACATGATTGACTGATTTAAAGCAATACAGGGTAAGCAGAATGCAATTTTCAACACCAAGGGCAACCTTAAGCACATATTTTGATTTCAGGAAGTGCTGGCCCTGGAGGGATTTTAATTCCTGCCAAACATCTTCAAAACAATTTTTCAATGAAGTTTTGTCTTATTTAACTCTTTGATAGAAAAGACAGTATGTTTCTTTTAAATTTTCCCCTCTTTTACAATGCATTTTTGCTCTTTCTAATTGAATTAGCATTGCCTGATTTTCCTATTCTGTGGTATTTGTCAGTAGCATATCATGGTATTAAGAATTTGGGCAGTTATTGCTGTTTCAATTAGTCATTGAACTAAATCTCATATACACTTGTATAACATTAGACTGAATCTATGATTCCAGGACCCTAACAAGGGGAGTCAGGACTGAGGTTAACCCTTTTCACTCTCCAAGCCATTTTTCTATAAGATTAGATAAAAGATATTTTATTCCTGAATTTTTGGCTAACTCATTAGACAAAGTAGTTAATCCCTGAAAAGCCACTGTAATTGTTCCATCAGGATTTGTGTTATGGGGAACAAAAGTGCAAGACCCTCCACCAAGCATAACACAAATACCTCCCTTTTCTGCTAGCATCATATCAAATGTCATCCTGGTCTCCCAAGCCATTCAGCTGGTGGTCGTGTCAAACTGGCTAGATGCTCCTATAAGGGCATCCCTGGTATGACTGATAAATCTTTGTTGATTATTCTAGATTATTGTTTACTATTGATCACCAGAATGTAGTCTATTTGAATCCTGTAGCTGTTTGATTTCTAGACTTAAAGTCATTTAGAACTCTCCCAGGGGACTCCTATAGAGTTAACATGGACATCAAAGGACCCAGGTAATGACCCCTTAGCTATGGGATTAGCTTCCCTCAGAGGAGGAGACTGGAAGGCCAGAGTAATATAGCCAACTAATCTAGCATATGGGTTCCATATAAGTCATGAGGGGTTTTATTTCTTGTTCTCTGTTTAAGACAGCCTCTTCTCCCTACATTTGTAGTATTTTTTCCCTCTCTGGAATCTTCTTTCTGTTCTTCCAACCCTCAGTGTTTTGTAAGTTTCTTACTATGTCTGGCCAGTTGTTAGTTACAAAGTGTAAATTTGGATTCCTTGTTCCAAGGGCTCTTCTATGTCTAATCCCAAGTGTTTCTTCATCTGATCCTTCTGCCTCTCTAGAAACCCTACTTCTTTTCCTTTTGTACATTAAAGGCTTAATTTGTATTCTAGGCCTGGGCTATGGCTTTTCTAATCCTTCTTATGATCAAGTTTAGAAGATTCCAATGTGGCCCGGATGGGTCTCTTTATCATTATCCAAGGATGGCTGTTGATTGGGGATTTTTTTACCTGTTGCTTTTACATCCTGTCTGAGGGGATGTTTTCTTTCCCAAGCAACTATGGTGACCCTTATCACCCCCTGTCCTCACCATAGAAAAAATACTCAATATTGACATTAACTCAAGCCAGACATAGAGTTTGGGACCCAAGGAATTGATCCAATTGGTCAGTCACCCCATATGAATCTGCCAGAGGCCTCTGTTCCTCTTTTAAATTTCAAACCTTTTAAATTTGTTCAAAGAACAAATCATATGTTTGCCACCCAAGGGAACTTTACTAAGTGGGATTTATTGAGAAGGGGAGATTTCAGATATCCTGACATTGCTCAGGGATTTTCTTTTTAGTCTTTTGAGACAGGGTCTCCCTGTAGCCCCAGCTGTCCTGGAACTTACTATGTAGACCAGGCTGGCCTTGAACTCACAGAGATCTGCCTGCCTCTGCCTCCCGAGAGCTGCGATTAAAAGCATGTGCCACCACGCCCAACAGGGATTTTATTTTCTGTCAAGTGGCTTCTTTACAATATTTTTAATGAAGTTTTGTCTTATTTAACCCTTTGATAAAAAACGCAGTACATTTCTTTACATTTCTCATACGGACACATGGCAGCACCCTTGGAGCACAGAATCAGCTTATTTATGCAATCCACCCCCGCCCCCATCACTCATCATTTTATTAAAAGGCTTGAAGTTTAAGGACAAAGATGAAGGGGTCCAGACTACGACAACACCCAGTAAGGCTGGGGGAGGTGCAGTTCCTCCGTTGGTCAAGACTTTCCTGAAATTGCAGTCTTTTCCTCTTACCTCAGTAACCTCTACTGGAAGATGGAGAAATCAGTTCAAAGAGAGATAAGTTACCTTTGGCAAAGCAGTTCCTGTGACCACTTACAAGTGGCAAATGTGCTTTCAAGCTTCCTGTGAATAACAGAAGCTAAGATCCTAGGTGTGGTCCCCACCTCTGGCCCCTAATCCTGGGCCTTCTCCTCATACTGCAGATGCTGGGCTACCTGCCCGCCTCTCAGAAGCCTCAGGACCAGAAGTTCCCAGCAGGGCAAGGCCTCTAGAGACCTTTGTCTCCTGTCCTGTCAGACTAGATTTCTAGGCCACTCACTGCTACTTTCCTGGCTCTTCTCTGAGGTGTATTTTGTGACCTTTGAATGTACACAAACCAAGTACCTGAATCACGAATCACACACTTAAAGATGGGGTGTTCTAGTTTCCTCTCTGTTCCTATGACAGATACCTTGAGAAAAAGCAACTTAGGGGGAAAGGGTTTGTTTGGCTTATAATTCCAAGTTGTAGTCAATCATTTGAGGGAAGTCAAGGCAGAAACTCAAGCAGCTAGGCACACGGCATCCAGAGTCAAGAGCAGAGAGAGAAGACATGTGCCCTTGCTTTCCTATCCTCAGCTGACTTTTTATTCTTCATGCTGTTCAGGCCTCCTGCCTAGGGAATAGTGCCACCTACAATGGGCTGGGTCTTCCTCCATCGATTAACAAACAAAATAAGCCCCATAGACATGGCCGTAGGGCAACCTGATCTAGATAATTCCTCACTAAGACCCTCTTCCCAGATGATTCTAGTTTGTTTCAAGTTGACTGTCAAAACTTACCAGCACATTTGGTGAGAAAAAAATAATTTTTAAATACAATGTATATATTTCACCATCAATAATATATATATATATATACCACATATTTCAGATTTATCATCTTAAATAAGCTAGGTTATGAAAACGAATCTTGGGCCAGCAAGATGGCTCAGCAAGTAAAGGCACTTGCTGCCAAGCCTAACAACCTGAGTTCCCTAGGCCCTCCATAATGAAAGGAGAGAGGACTGACTCCCACAAGGTGTACTACCCACATTGAGGCTGTGTCTATTCATAGGAAAATTTTGCCCACAAGCCTTGGTCCCTTCCCCACACATGCCTGTGACACAAGAACGGGTCCCTGTACAGTGGGCAGAAGGGTCATACACTGCCCAGCAGCTTATAGCCAGGATCTAGCTCAGTTATGAAACTAGATGACGTTCTGGCTGCACAGGAAATACAACTGATATTTCTGAAAGCCATCTCTTCCTCTGTTTTTAAATCTAGGCTTTGGAATTCCATGAGTGGGCATTTTAAGGAGTAAGAAGGCTCTGTATGGTCTGTTTCTTCCTCTCTCTCTCTCTCTCTCTCTCTCTCTCTCTCTCTCTCACTGTCATTGCCATTGTCATTGAACTAAGGGCATCTATACATTTCTGCTAAGCATAAGTACTACCACTAAGGTACACTGCAGCCCCCCATGGGGTCTCTTACAGGCGGAACTAGAATAGAGAATTCTACCCTGTGGTGCCAATTACACTGTGACTTGTCAGTGACACTCACCAGTGTCCCTGCTTTCTTCCTGGAATCCTTTCTTCTCTTTGACAATGTAGCTTGGCACAAGTGGACATGCACATGAGCCATGAGGCTTCTGGATAAAAGTGCTGGTTTATTCCTGTTCATGGCAGCACATGCTGGTGAGTGGGCTCCCTCATATGATCACTGCCCAAGGGAATACTGCAGACCCCACTCTGCTATAGGCCTGAATGGTGGAAGGAGCTGCACCCTCAACTTAGCTGGAAGAGAGCCCTGCACTTCACCCCTGGGGATACTTGGAAGGCAGAGTAAGAACCTAACCAATTTATAGCCCAGGGTTAGAGGTCAGATAGCAAATGTATGCAGTGTCCACTCCTTGCAGCCAGCCACACACTTTGACAACACAAGTTGAGGAAAGATCCAAATAGGGGGAAAGCAGGAATGAAGAGAAACTAAGACAGTCCCTTACATCTTAAGCAATGAAAGATAAAACCACAGACTCTGGAGCAATAAATTGTGTGGTTGGGAGGTTCTGATTGTAGCATGGCTGCTACAGCCACTGTGCCACTATGTGGGACAGAGAGGCTCCAGAAAGAGATGAGGGGCACCTTCATCCTCTGAAGCCTGAAGAGCAGAAGGAAGACTCAAGGGACTGGGGTACCTGAGGCACTGATGCAAAGGGAGGTAACACAGGTGAGGGATCTGAGGCACACATTGTGTGACTGTTGCCATGTGACCCTGACTGAAATGAAACAGGGTTTTTAAAAGCTGGTGACATGTATGAGTCAGTTGCGGTCTTCTAAAATAGCAACTGGAACTCAAATTACAATAGCTAGAAACATCAAAGAGCCCTGGCCTGTCTCTGGCTGGTTTCTGTTGCTATAATACAAGCTCTGAGACTGGATAAGTTATAATGAAGAACTGAGGTCCATTTGACCTTGTGATTCTGGAGACTGTAAGACCCAAGTTGAACAGCTTCCCAGCAACAATCTCTTCATGAAGATAGATCCCTCACTACAAGAGTGTCTCTTCAAGGCCCAGCACCTCTTGGCACCATCCCACTGAGGACCAAGCCACAAATGAGCTCTGGCAGGTACCAGCCACCTCCAAGCCACTATATGTCTCTAAATCTCCACTGACCAGAAAGAGCTAAAAATTCCAGGCAGCTCTTACAGCTCCAAAGTGGGCCCTGGGGACAGGGAGAGGGAGCATGGCACCCCACCACATCTGAGTCTTGTCCAGAAACATGCTGTGCTAGGATCAGGACCTGATGGCAGCCACCCCACACCTTCAGAATCACCACAGGACCGGTCTTTACCCTCAAATAAGTCTATTGCAGTGTGACTCCTCATCTGAACATGTGTAGGGAGCAAAGGATTTGTAGTTAAAGTCTTCCCACTTGAGAAGGAGCATGTTCAAACTTTCACACCATACCCTGGAAAAAGAAGGGGTCTGGAGGAACCCTTCAGATGGGGTGTATTTGTATCTTTGTACAAAGTCAGAATTTACTAACTAATGGTAAATTCATGAGCTATGTCAGTTTCATTGTTTGCAATTTGAGAAGTGGTCTCAATTTCTTTTCATTTTTTTTGTTTGTTTTTGAGACACACTGCATAACCTTGGCTGGCCTGGAACTCACTGTGCAGACCCAGCCTGATTTCTCTTGATAGCTGGCTGTTGGCAAACAGGCTCTTTTGTTCCAGTATTTATTACAAATATTAACTCTCA